CTTTTCTCTAGACTATTAATTAATTTCCTTTTAATCCTGCATCTTTATTATGTAAACTCGTAAAAGCTTCCATATAAGGCATTCGATCCCACTTCCCTGATCTTTGACAAAACAACTCTAATTGCAGTATAATACAATAATTTAAAGACCCATTCAGTAGCCAGCACTCTCCTGAGTCCAGATTATACATAAACCAAACAGTATTACAATAAAAAACTATTTTCTTTTTAGTCATAGGTTTATAAGCATAGGTTGACCAATCAGCCAAAACTTGCCCCAAAGGGCTGTTTTCTGGAATGGAGGCTTTCCTCCCCATTCTACCGGCAAGTGTATATAAGATCTCACAAACCAAACTGGAAGGCACCTTAATTCCTCATTATCTAAAGTTATGATCCCAGACTGTAACCATGAACCAGAAAGTGCAGCGATTCAATCTAAAAGTGAAGGCAACAACAGGGAGCGCTGAAGGTTGGAGAGAGTCCCCAAGTGAAATCACTTGGAAGCTATTAGGGAGTCTCCAAATCTGCTCCCCAGGGCTTCCCAGTCCAGGCAGCCAACAGGACTCCCCACCAAATACCCAGATTTACCAGAAAGTCCCAAAGCTTGTCCTGGAACAGAGTAACCAGAATATGAAACTGGAAAAGTCGGCATTCATGCTGCCTGTCACCACCAGAACCAATAAGCACAGACAGGAGTTGAATCTTTATGGATACTTTATTCAGATGGCTGGTGATCTGAGAAGATGGTGAGTTATTTACCCTAAAAGACCATCTTCCATATCCTTTCAAGCCAGCCTTTTCTATAGGGAGGAAAAAGTGTAGTAAGGGATTTGGGATTCAGGGAGAAAAAAGTGTAGGTAAGGAATTTGGAATTCAGGAAAGAGATTAATCAGATAAAAGCTGCAGTCCATCACTTTTCGTAGCATCCTTTCATTTGTTGACCACTGATTCTTTATCTGTGTCCTGGGCATCTGAGACCTGGGGTATTTTCTTTTCTTTTTTTAAAGATTTTATTTTTATTTTTAGACAGAGGGGAAGGGAGGGAGATAGAGAGAGGGAAACGTCAATATGTGGTTGCCTCTCACACGCCCTTTACTGGGGACCTGGACCACAACACAGGCATGTGCCCTGATCTGGGAATTGAACCTGTGAACCTTTGGTTTGCAGGCCAGCACTCAGTCCCCTGAGCCACACCAGACAGGGCTGTCCTGGGTGATTATCTATCTGTGTTCTGTGTCCTGTACCCTGGGTTATTTTCTTTGTGTCCTTGGCGGTGGAACACAATGGCTGAGATACCATCTTGATTGTTTATGGTCTCCTCTGGAGGACAAAGGTCAAATTCCCTGCAATTTCCTGGAGTCAGGGTGGGCCACACCTTCAGTTTTTGAAATGATGGCTTTTTACATGCATTAACTACTAAGCTTATTAACTATTATTTAAAACTAAAATATTCCAGCTCTTGAGTTCCCCCATCACTTCTAGTTGTAGGTTATGCCTCTTTATATATTTCCACAATACCTTGAATTTCTTCCTTAACATACTAAATCACCATTGCTTTATTTAATATTTAATCTTCTGCCCTGGCTGGCGTAGCTCAGTGGATTGAGTGCGGGCTGCAAACCAAAGTGCCGTAGGCTCGATTCCCAGTCAGGGTACATGCCTGGGTTGCAGGCCATGACCCCCAGCAACTGCACATTGATGTTTCTCTCTCTCTCTTTCTCCCTCCCTTCCCTCTCTAAAAAATAAATAAATAAAATCTTAAAAAATATTTAATCTTCTTTGACAAAGTAGAAAAGATCACAATACCTGATATCAAACTATATTATAAGGCCACAGTAATGAAAACAGACAGCTACTAGCAAAAGAACAAACACATAGACCAATGGAACAGAATAGAATGCCCAGAAATAAACCCAAGTCTCTATGGTCAATTAACAAAGGTGGCACAAGCAAAAAACAGAGTAAAAATAGCCTCTTCAACAAATGGTGTTGGGAGATCTGGACAGCTACATGCAAAAAATGAACTCAACCACCAACTTACACCATTGCAAAAATAAACTCAAGATGAATAAAGGACTTAAATATAAGTCACAACACCATAAAAGTCCCAGAGGAGAACATAGTCAGGAAAATCTCAGATATTCCATGCAGCAATATTTTCACCAATACATCCCCTAGATCAAGGGAGATAGATATAGATATAGATATAGATATAGATATAGATATAGATATAGATATAGATATAGATATATAGATAATAAACAAATGGAATTACATCAAATTAAAAAGCTTCTCCATGGCTACAAAAAACATCAGCAAAATGAAAAGGGAACCAACCATATGGGAAAACATATTTACCAATGAGACCTCAGACAAGGTTTTGATCTCCAAAAATATATAAAGAACTCACAGAACTCCACTCCAGGAAGACAAACAATCCAATTAAAAAATGGGCAGAGGGCCTCAGCAGACACTTCTCTAAGGAAGACACACAGAGGGCCTGGAGACATATGAAAAGATGCTAAATATCACTAGCCATCAAAGAGATGCAAATTAAAACCACAACAACATACTACTTCACACCAGTCAGAATGACCATCATAAGCAAATCAACAAACAAGTCCTGGCGAGGTTGTAGAGAAAAGTGAACCCTAGTACACTGTTGGTGGGAATGCAGACTGGTACAGCCACTGTGGAAAACAATGTGGAATTTCCTCCAAAATCTAAAAACGGTACTGCCTTTTGACCCAATAATTCCATTGCTGGACTATACACTAAGAATCTGAAACACGAATTCAAAAGAACCTGTACACCCCAATGTTCATAGCAGCACAATTTACAATACCCAAGTGCTGGAAGCAACCTAGGTGTCCATCAGTAAACGAATGGATCAAAAAACTATGGTACATTTACATCATGGAATACTGCACAGCAGAAAGAAGGAACTCCTACCCTTTGGGACAGCATGGATGGAACTGGAAAGCATTATGCTAAGCGAAATAAGCCAGGCAGTAAAAGACAAATACCATATGATCTCACTTTTAACAGGAACCTAATCAACAAAACAAACAAACAAGCAAAAGATAACCAAAGACACTGAAATAGAGGACAGGCTGACAGTGACCAGAGGGGAGAGGGGAGGGAATTTCAGGGGAAAAGGGGAAGGGTTTGCAGGAACAAGTATAAAGGACACATGGACAAAAACAAGGGGGGGTGGAAGCAGTGGAGGGAGGTGGGGAGGGCTGGGGGGTGGGATGAGAGTAAAGGGCACAAAACTGAACTCGAACAATTAAAATTAAAAAAAAAATGAATGGATCCAAAAACTGTGGTACATTTACACAATGGAATACTACATAGCAGAAAGGAAGAAGGAGCTCCTATCCTTTGCAACAGCATGGATGGAACTGGAGAGCATTGTGCTAAGTGAAATAAGCCAGGTGGTGAGGTACAAATACCATATGATCTCACCTTTGAGTGGAACTTAGTCAACAAAACGACAAGCAAGCAAAATATAACCAGAGACACTGAAATTAAGAATAATCTGATAGTAACCAAAGGGGAGGTGGGAGGGGATAATAGGGTGAAGGGTTTTCAGGAACAACTATAAAGGACACATGGACAAAACCAAGGGGTGGTAGAAGCAGTGGAGGGAGGTGGGGATGGCTGGGGTTGGGGGGAGTGGTGAGGGTTAAATGGGGACAACTGTACTTGAACAACAATAAAATAATTTTTAAAAAACTGTGGTACATTTATACGATGGAATACTATGCATCAGAAAGAAAGAAGGAGCTCCTATCCTTTGTGACAGCTTGGATGGATCTGGAGAGTATTACACTAAGTGAAATAATCTAGACAATGAAAGACAAATAGCATATGATCCCACCTATAAGTGGAAACTAATCAACAAAAAAAGCAAGCAAAATATAACCAGAGACATGGAAATTAAGAATAAACTGATAGTAACTAGAGGGGAGGTAGAAGGGGATAATGGGGGGAAAAGGGAGAGGGGTTTTCAGGAACATGTATAAAGGACACATGGACAAAACCAAAGGGGGGTAGGATTGAGGGTGGGAGGTGGGGATGGCTGGGGTGGGGGAGAGTAGTGGGGTGAAATTGGACACAACTGTATTTGAACAACAATAAAAAAAGAAAAATACATTTTTTATCTTTTTGACCTTATGTCCCTTTCCCTTTAAGCAAAGTGAAGTTTCTTATCCTCTCTGCTCCCATAGTATCCTGTTCTCATCTCTATCACATCACTCTTCACTTTTTATTATAATTGTCAGCTTCTCTGTCTATTCAGGCTAAATTGTAAGTACCTTGCAGGCAGAGGCTGCCTTCCCTGTTATCAGTGCCTAGCACTCAGTAGCAGTCAGTAAATATATTTGCATGAATGAACAAATTAGTGGATAAACAGATAAATGACCTTACGAGAATTTCCTCCAAAGACGGGGTGCTTCAGGAAGTTTCAGCATTGGCTGCCAGTCCTTCGCACAAAAGGGTAACTTTAAGAAGCTATTGTCCAGTAATGAGATTTACAGTGCTTTCACTCTTATTAATTTCATGGAATAGGTTGGGAAGTTTCGGGTTCTTGGGCTTTTGTTACTATGAGCTTGATGAAACAATTAGAGCAGGGACAGGAACTGACAGACTTTTCCTAGGATGATTTTACCTCCTTTCCTTTTAAATAAGCTAATGAATAGAATGAAATCCTTATGGGGAAAATATTCTCCCTTCTCCTAGTTATCATTTGTCATTATCCCTTCCCTGTCATGGGCAAATAGGGAGATCATCAGTTTGAGCCAGAAATGTCTGCCTTTTGGTAATTGTCTATTTCCTCTCTCACTGACTTTGAAGGCATGCCATCCATTCTCACTGTGCTGACAGAAATGCTTAAGGTGTGAGCAGTCTTTGCCCTGTGTGGGAGAGGGAAGGAGAAAGGGAGGGCCAGTTATGATACAGACACTTAGCTAGCCCTGCATTTCCATCCTCTCTCATCAGGGAAAAGTTGGCATTCAGAAACATATGAGTCCTCTGCACAAGCTATGGAAACAGTATCTGCTTGGGCCCGGCCTGAAATGCACACAATCAATGGCTATGTAAACCGGTCTCTCCCAGGTATGTACACACTTGCTCAAGAATCCTCAGGGGCTTCAGCATTCACTACCAGAGCTCTTTAATCCAGTTCTCTACACCCAGAGGAAAGCACACTGAATCCAGGCCTTTGGTGGAGAGTCTTAAAGTACAGTGGCTGATTCCTCTTCCAGATTCCTAAAACTGAAGGCCTGCACATGTACACAGAGCTCACAGATTTCTCTTTCCTTTTGCTTGAATATGTGGGCAGCCAAAGATGAAGAGATATTTTTAAAAAGTCTGAAACATAAAAAGGATATTCAAAGATAAAGAAAATAATAATCCCAGAAGAAAAAGAGATAATGCTTGGAACAGAAGAGAACTTTTCAAAAGCTCTAATTTGTATTTGTATAGATTCAACAAAATAGTGTATCAGGGAGAGGTATATAAAAAAACTAAATGGTAATGGAAAAAATACATTAAAGATTAAAAAACAAAATACTGCATCAATAAAGTAATAATAGGGTTCTATGAAAAAACAATCAAAACAAAAATATGCTCAGAAAAATTAGGAATACAATGGTCAAAATACAAACTCAATAGAAGATAGGTAGAATAGAGAAAGGCTCCCAGAAAGTAAAACAAAAAGACATTGATAATATATTTAAAAACAGATTTTGAAAATTAAAGGAATGTGTTAAGAATGAAAAGGTTTGAGCCTTTATATTAAAACTTCCCAAAAAGATAATTTTAAAAAAATCTCAATACAAAATAATGATTGTGGAATTTCAGAGAACACATATAAAATATTTAAGCTTCCCCTGGGAAAAACAGGTCACATACAAACACATGAGAATTAGACTGGTAATATAATGAAGCAATACCTTTAAAGTTCTAAGGCAAAAATCATTTTCAACCTACAATTCTGAGCCAAATTATGAATCAGCATTGTGGAAAGAATAGAGACATTTTTAGAAATGGTAGTCCTTAGAAGTCACTGGAGATGTACTACAGTATAACTGGAGTGTAAACCACAAAAGAGGAAGTTGAAAAATTTAGAAACACAAGAAAATAATAAAGGACAAGGATGGATATTTTTGTAACTCTTTTCTGTATTTCCAATAATTCTACAATGAACATGCATGATTTTAGAATTCTAAAATAAATTAACCTTCAAATCATGCAAAACCCTGATCTCACATTAGCTTATAGCATAATAGGCAGATGTAGTAATCAAATAATTATAATAATAAATTCAAAATTACAAAAGAATTTCTTTGAAGGAAAATTACATAATTATATGTGAACATATAATAAAGGAGACTGATCTAGACTGGGGAATCAGAGAAGGCTTCCCTAAGGAAGTGCCATTTAAGTTGAGCTTTGAAACAAGATTAGTTAATAGGGAAATGAGGTGATATGAGATGAGACTGGAGAGGTACTAGGGATCAAGCTATTCAGGGCTTTCTAGACCTTTCTAAAATGTTTGGACTTGATTCTATATGGAATGGCAGTCACTGAAGAGTTTGGGGCTAAAGGATACCATAATCCGATCTGAAATGCAAATATATCACACTAATTTCCTCGTGGGTGAAAAGTTTAGAAGGGAGTATGACAAGATGTAGAAAGACCTGTAAAGAAGCTATTCAAGTGGTTCAGATAAGAGTTAATGGTAGCTCACTAGCTTGGCTACAGATGGTAGGGATAGTCATAACAGTAAAATGTCATTTTTTACTATAATTACTGACAGTAATCACACACACACACACACGAAAGCTGCAGGAACCAAAATAGAAAACAGCTGTACCATGGAAGTTTTTAACAGTGTGAAATGTAAACATACAGCTTCTTGGGTTCAAATTTGAGCAAGTTACTTAACTTCCCTGGGCATGAGTTTCCTCTCCTCTAAGAGAAGGATGATGATAATAATTTCTACATTAATAGGATTATTGTGAGGAGTGAGTGAGTTAAAACTTATAAAATCTTAGTGCTTAAAAGAAAACAAGTAAATATTAGTGTTATTAATTATATTGTCATAATTGGGGTCGGATTGGTTGTGAGAAGTGAGATTGGAGACAAGAATGACTCTCACTTGAATAATTGAAAATAGGATGGTGCCATTCACTGAAATAAGGAACTCTAGAAAAAGATGAGGTAATGAAGATTCAAATGTGGTTTTTGGATGTGTGGGTTTTATGAAATAACTAGGTGAAGATATTGAAATGTTATTGTATGAGTCTGGAGTTATAGGAGATGTCTGAAACAGGAGAGTTATTAGAATATAGATGATCATTAACACCATGAGAGTGGATGATATTGTTTAGGGAGAAAATATTGGTTAACAAGAAAATAAAGCCAAAGCTGAGCACTGAGGTGATCTGTCATCTAATGGGTGAGTAGAGAAGGAAGGATCAGGGAAGGAGACAGAAGGAGTAGTCTAACCAACAGGGAAACAAAACCCAGAAAGGTGTTGGTATAGAGGCCAAGGGAGGAGAGAATTTCAAGAAGGAATGAATGGTCAACGAGTGCAAATGAAAACTAAAATATATCCATTGGATTTAGCAGCATGATAGTCATTGGTGACTTTGGCAAGAGCTGTTGCTTTCACCCCTGTGTCCTTAGAAACTTTGGTTCCAAGTCAAGATAATAAAATGTATAAGGTCAATTTGTTCATCCTACCTTAGGAAATGTTTCCCATTTCAAATTCTCTCATGATCATAGCTATCTTATTCCCATTTTACAGGTCTAATTGGGTGTCACAAGAAATCGATATATTGGCATGTGATTGGAATAGGCACCACCCCCGAAGTGCACTCAATTTTCCTTGAAGGTCACACATTTCTTGTGAGGAACCATCGACAGGCCTCCTTGGAGATCTCACCAATAACTTTCCTTACTGCTCAGACACTTCTAATGGAACTTGGCCAGTTTCTACTCTATTGCCATATCTCTTCCCACCAACACGGTAATATTTGTGGATCTTAAAAACTAATATTATAAGTCTCCAACCTTTATTTATTAGAATTTACTGTCCACTGTCCACTATAGGATTATGTTAGTTAGACCTCAACTGAGATTCCCTGGTTACCAGTTTTCAGAGTAAAGATTTTGCCTTGAGTATAAGAGGGCTTGAATACTTGTAGCATTGGTGAGGTTTTAGTTAAATCCCTGTGATAGAGGTAGGGCAGATGGTTTATGGATAAATGAAGTGGGAAAAGTGAGGAGGACAGCATATTATCAGTTTTCCAGCTTAATCCCATTAACTACACTTTTATCCTGTGTAGAGAGAAAGGCAGGCCATACATAGCTGAAGAGATGTTTTATGAGAAATTTAGAGAAACGGGAAAAACAGCACTGTTCAGGTTATAAACACAAGAGCTCCAGGATATCATTAGAAATACTCAGGACAATAACTAGCAAATGTAAGAGGATACTACAATGCTCAATATGAGACACCAGACAACTAGTGCACATGGAAGCACTCTGCAGATACCTGCTGGAGGTGAGACACAGCTAATCTCAGATCATGTCAGGGGATAGTGGATACTGGAAGAAGCAACATGGGAATGGATTTGGTTAGTATACTTGAAGTACAACATGAAGCTTTTAAGGACTACATGAAAGGGACTTTGCAAAGGGTCAAAGTTCCTGTGAAATTACTTTTGAGCAATGGTACCTAGAGTTTCAAATTATTGTTAATATGACCTCATTTGTAGATACAGGCTGTAAAAATTCACATTACATGATCACCTCATGCCCATTTTCCTTATGTATTCATTCTGCTAACTCTTAATTTTGAATCAATCAATCAAGACTCTTTGCCTAATCCTCTGTTGTGACTATTGAGGGCTATTGGAGGAGAAGGTGGAGGAGGCCTAATTTCCATGTTCAATAGCACTTGTTTGTCCTATCACTCTTTTCATTTCCTTATTATTCTCTGTTCTTTTCTTTTCCTTTTTTCTTCTTTTATTGTTGTTCAGTTACAGTTGTTACCATATTCCCCTGTTGCTCTCCTTTGGCCCACCCAACCCCTGCTCCCAAAGACAACCCCCACCCCATTGTCCTTGCCCATGGGTCCTTTACATGTTCCTTGACTTGACACTTCTTTACCCCATTATCACCCTCCCCCCTTCCCTCTGGTCACTGTCAGTTTGTTCTTTATTTCCATGTCTCTGGTTCTTTTTTGCCCATTTATTTCTTTTGTAGATTAGGTTCCACTTACAGGGGAGATCATATGGTCTTTGCCTTCCACTGTCTGGTTTATTTCACTTAGCATAATACTCTCCAGATCCATCCATGCTCACACAAAGGGTAGGAGCTCCTTCTTTCTGCTGCATAGTATTCCATTGTGCAAATGTACCACAGTTTTGGGATCCACTCATTTACTGATGGGCACTTAGTCTATTTGCAGAACTTGGCTAATGTAAGTAATGCTGCTATGAACATTGGGGTGCATAGGTTCTTCTGAATTGGTGTTTCAGGATTCTTAGGGTATACTCCCAGCAGTGGAATCACTGGATCAAAAGGCAGTTCCATTTTTAGTTTTCTGAGGAAATTCCATACTGTTTTCCACAGTGGCTGCACCAGTCTGCATTCCCACCAACAGTGTACTAGGGTTCCCTTTTCTCCACAACCTCACTAGCACTTGTTTGTTGATTTGTTAATGATGGCCATTCTCACTGATGTTAAGTGGTATCTCATTGTGGTTTTAATTTGCATCTCTCTGATGGTTAGTGATGCTGAGCATCCTTTTTTTTTGAAAAGGTGACTTTCTTTTCATTATATGCTCCTTAATATGTTTTGAATATTTTTACCATGTCCTTTTTTCAAAGATTTTATTTATTTATTTATTTTTAGAGAGAAACATCAATGTGCGGCTGCTGGGGGTCATGGCCTGCAACCCAGGCATGTACCCTGACTGGGAATTGAACCTGCCACACATTGGTTCGCAGCCCATGCTCAGTCCACTGAGCTACACCAGCCAGGGCTGAGCATCCTTTCATACATCTCTGGGACCTCTGTATATCCTTCTTGAAGAAGTGTCTGTTCAAGTCCTTTCCCCATTTTTTAAACTGGATTGTTAGTCTTCCTGGAGTGGAGTCATGTGAGTTCTTTATATACTTTGGAGATCAAACCCTTGTCTGAGGTATCATTTGTAAATATGTTTTCCCATATGGTTGGTTCGCTTTTTATTTTGCTGATGTTTTCTGTAGCCGTGCAGAAGCTTTTTAATTTGATGTAATCCCATTTGTTTATTCTTTCCTTTACATCCCTTGCTCTAGGGTACATATCGGTAAAAATGTTGCTGCATGGGATATCTGAAATTTTCCTGCCTATATTCACGTCTAGCACTTTTATGGTATTGCAACTTATATTTAAGTCTTTTATCTATTTGGAGTATATTCTGGTGTATGGTGTAAGTTGGTGGTCTAGTTTCACTTTTTTGCATGTACCTGCCCTGATCTCCCAACACCATTTATTGAAGAGGCTCTTTTTTACTCTATTTTATGCTCCTGACCCTTTGTCAATTACTAATTGACTATAGAGACTTGGGTTTTTTTCTGGGCTCTCTATTCTCTTCCATTGATCTATGTGTCTGTTCTTATGCCAGTACCAGACTGTTTTGATTACAGTGGCCTTGTAATATAGTTTGATACCAGGTATTGTGATCCCTCCTACTTTGTTTTTCTTTCTCAAAATTGCTGAGCCTATACAGAATTGTTTATTGGTCCATGTAAATTTCTGAAATGTTTGTTCTATAGCTATGAAATATGTCATGGTATTTTGATAGGAATTGCATTTAATCTATCAATTGCTTTGGGTAGTACGAACATTTTGATGATGTTAATTCTTCCAATCCGTGACATATGCTTCCATTTATTTGTGTCTACCCTATTTTTTTTCTTCAGTGTTCTGTAGTTCCCTCAGTATAGGTCTTTCACCTCTTTGGTTAGGTTTATTTGTAGGTACATTATTTTTCATATTACTATAGTAAACGGGATTTTTTTCCTAATTTCTGTTTCTGACATTTCATTGTTAGTGTAAAAAATGCCTTCTATTTCTGAATATTGACTTTGTATTCTGCTGCTTTGCCAAATTCACTTATTAGGTGGAGTAGTTTTATTGGTGGAGTCTGTAGGGTTTTTCTATGTACACTATCATGTCATCTGCAAACAATGACAGTTTTATGCCCTGCTTTCTAATTTGGATGCCTTTTAATTCTCTTTGTTGTCTGATTGCTGTGGCTAGGACTTCCAATACTATGTCGAAGAGAAGTGGTGAAAGAAGGCACCCTTGTCTTGTGCCTGATCTTAGGAAGAAAACTTTTAGTTTTTGCCCATTGAGTATGATGTTAGCTATAGATTTCTCATATATGACCTTTATTATGTTGATTCATGCTCCCTCTACACCCACTTTGCTGAGTGCTTTTATCATAAATGGGTGCTATACTTTATCAAGTGCTTTTCCAGCACCTATTTATATGACCATGTGATCTTTGTTTTTCATTTTGTTTATGTGATATATTATGTTTATTGATTTGTGAATATTGTACCATCCTTGCATCCCTAGGATGACTCTCACTTGATCATGGGGTATGTTCTTTTTTAATATATTGCTAGATCCAGATTGGCAATATTTTGTCAAGGATTTTAGCATCTATGTTCATCAGTGATATTGGCCCATAGTTTTCTTTCTTTGTCATGTCTTTATGTGGTTTTGGAATTAGGATGATGGTGACCTCATAAAATGAATTTGGGAGTCTTCCCTCCTCTTGGATTTTTTTGGAATAGTTTAAGCAGTATAGGGGTTAGCTCTTCCCTGAATGTGTTGTAAAATTCTCCTGGGAAGCTGTCCGGTCCAGGGCTTTTGTATGCTAGGAGTTTTTTGGTTACTGCTTCAATTTCACCAACTGTTCTTGGTCTGTTCAGGCTTTCTGCTTTTTTCTACTTCAGTTTTGGAAGATTGTATGTTTCTAGAAATTTGTCCACTTTGCCCAGGTTTTCAAATTTCTTGGCATATAGTTATTCACAGTAATTTCTTACAATCCTTTGTATTTCTGCAATGTCAGTTGTAATTTCTCCTCTTTTATTTCTGATTTTCTTTGTTTGGTTCCTCTATCTTTTCTTCTTAATGAGTCTGGTTAAAGGCTTGCCAATTATGTTTATCTTTTCAAAGAAGCAGCTCCTGGACTCATTGGGCTTTTGAATTATTCTTTTCATCTCTATGTCATATAATTCTTCTCTGATCTTGATTATTTCCTTCCTTCTAGTTGCTCTTGGCTTTGTTTATTTTGTTCTTCCAGTTCTTGTAGTTGTAGGGTTAGGTTGTTTATCTGAAATGTTTCCATCTTTTTCAGGCAGGCCTGTATTTCTATGAACTTCCCTCTCAGGACTGCCTTCATTGTGCCCAATATTGGCCCAATATTGTGCCCAGAATTGGGCTGTTTTGTGTTAATTTTCACTTGTTTCCAGAAACTTTTTGACTTCCTCCTTGATGTCATTGTTAACCCATTCATTGCTTAATATCATCTTATTCAGTCTCCATGAATGTGACTGTTTTTAAGTTTTTGTGTTTTTTTTTAGGTTGGTTTCCAGTTTCATGCCATTGTGATCCAAAAAAAAAATGCTTGATATGATTTCAATTTTCTTGAATTTGTTGAGGCTTGTTTTGTGTCCTATTGTGTGGTCTATCTTTGAGAATGTTCCATGTGCATTTGAAAAGAATGTGTATTTTACTTCTTTGGGGTGAAAGATTCTGTATATATCAGTTAAATCCATTTGATATAGGGTGTCATTCAGTGTCATAATATCCTTGTTGAATCTTTGTTCAGAAGATCTGTCCATTGTTGACAGTGGGGTGTTAAAGTTCCCTACTATAAGTATGTTGCTGTCTATCTTTCTTTAAGTCCTCCAAGATTTTCCTTATATATTTGGGTGCTCCTATCTTGGGTGCATATATGTTTAC